AACCACGTACATGTATGAGTGTAATTCATTCAACAGTTTATATACCCACGGCTCCCCAGGGACTCTCTCACACACACACACGCACCTCCTCGAGTGCCAAACTTCAGATGTAAATCTCAGATTCTGATCTCACCAAAACTCATTCTACTCCACTAATCTTGATAGTACTCCACTGCATCAGGTTGAAGAATCCTGATTTCGCTGAAACTAAGCCTCTCTGTAGGCTGTCCAAGTTACCTGTTTTCAAAGGTGCGCACTTCGATCACAAAGCCCCAGTACAGGGCAGGATGAAAACTGCTTATTTGTGGAAACTCCTCTGAAAAGCCTCCGCATGATCCAAGGTACATCCACGGCCATGACTTTGGGGTAATTCAATGATCAGAAACATCATCGGCTGATATTCCAGTGTATGGGTTGAAGCAGTCTACACCGTTATCCCTCTCATTTTGTACAATTTCGATAAAAACCACATGCCTCTTATCCCCATCTCTGTGTGAATAACTAAACTGAGCTGAAACCAAACTGCACTGAGAAGTCTGACTTCTGCAGCTATGTACTCAGGGCTGCTCTGTTGCAGATTTCTTTGATAAGCACACATAGCCTAGGTAAGCTTTTAGGGGACAGCAGTTTCACATCCAGATACAGTTTTCAGTGGAAGCTGTTGTTAGTCTTCCATTCACAGCTAGCATTTAGGTGCTATGTTCGTGTAAAATTTAATGGTGGAATCAAGCCACAGGTGAACCAATGGATTTATTCATTCTGGCATTTTCTCTTCACTCCACTCACTCCCTATTTCTTTATTCTTTTTCCATTATTTATTTTATAGGAAATAACTACCACTACAATAGATTACAATCTTCTCCTTTATAGAATATAAGAATATAGGCTACATCAGAGTTATCTTTCCTCCTCCTCACGATCCACTCTTGGTAGAAATGTGGGGCACACTTCTGAGACAGGTTACAAATGTGTCTTGGCTTGAAAACAAAGTTGATACCTCTCAGTAGGGATGATTAAAAGCCTTAAAACATATTTTAATTTGACTCAACTATCTTTCATTATAAAAGCTTCTATTTATCTTGAAACATAGTAACATTGACTGAGAACTGCAAAGAATTTTTCAAAGAATGAAAGCCTAGAGAAAGAGTAGCTGAAGGTGCAAATGATTTGAGTACTTGTATTAATAAGAAACTATTACTGTTAACGAAAAAGTAAAATAAAATCGTGATCATAATGTGCATCTTCCTCCACTTAAATCTGCAACAGTAGCATCGCCCACTGGCCTGATTCTGTGGCATGCTGGGGGCTTGCCGCAAAACGCTGAGCTGAAATTCTTTGTGATTACCTGAAATCTTATCTGGACATAAGAGTGCTACGTGAAAAGCATACCTGAACTTCTTAAATGACAAACTAAAATCTTATATACGTAGATTATGCATATTGACCACTACATTATTATAACATAACTGTGTACAAATCCTTCTGATAACTTGTTGATAACTTAACTTCATGTAATTTAACTGACCCTTATTTGCTAAGATACTGTGTAAGCCAGTGTTTGGAAGGGAGCCAGGAAAAAAAAAAGTTTTGGCATAGTTTTAGCACGTGCTATAGAACATATGGAACGCAGAATCCAGTGCTATTTCTTGGAAAAACCACTATTAAACCATGGGACCAATGCCTGAGCCAAACAAACTACAACATATTTTTTAGTTCCCAAATACATAATATGACAAAGAAACAAAATTAGAAAAAAGGGTTCCACTACTAGGCAGCACTTTGTAACTGATACAACAGGAAGTATACTTGCCATTTTCGTTTATTAGTCATATTGCAACCAAAGAAGAAAGTTAATATTCTCCAGTAAAAAAAAAAAAAAAAAAAAAAATTCTATTACCTTAAATTGATAGTTCTGTCTATCTTAATTGCAGCAGAGGGTGAAAAAAAAAAAGTTACTAAACCCCAGAACATTAAAATAAGACTAAGTAATACGGGAAGTGCAAATCTACCGCCTCCAACTCCTCTCAGTATTACACACCACTATTAATAAAATGCATTACTTTAACTAATTACATACACTTGAGCATTCATCATCATCAGTTTATTACTTCTGTAACTGCAATTTAGGGATGTCGAGCAACATGCCTCCACCACACGTCCCGCAACCTACATCAGTGCGTGCCTACACGGACCTCATCAAGTAGCCAAAGAAGTGCCCTTTCACTGAGAGCAAGTGACTAATATCTAAGCTGGTTCTAAAGAAAGACACTTTCATAATCGCCCAACAATCTGCTAAGTGAAAACATATGGGTAGGCTTAGGTAAAGCCTGCCAGGGGTCTTTACTGAATGGAAAACAGGTGCTCCAGTTCTGTGCCATGTAATACCCCATTTACCGTTAAGTCCAAAGGTTACAGGACTAATAGCTGCCTTGTGGTAATCAGGGAAAGCAAAGACACTGGCCGTGGTCAAACATCTGGGACATATTTTACATACTTGCAACATATGCTTCAGTTTCAATTAAAGTGAGGCTTTGGCACATTTATTAATCTTTTTACTTTTATCGCATAAGAAGACCCATTTACCTGACTTTTCTGTTACATCGTATGAAAAAACAGAGGAATAACAAAAGCCAGAGGCCACTACTAGCTGGTGTTACAAAATGTGCATTTGTTTTCTCACAAAACATTTTGCACATGGCTTTAAGAAAAAACATACGTGAATTAAACTGCACCTTTCCATTTTGACAAAAAGAGGTAAGAGGAACAGCACTAGTTAAGAGAGTATGTCTAGTGCTACAGAAAGAAAAAAACACCCTAAGAGCTTCTAACAACAAACAACTCAGTCCTAACTATGTGCTTACGTTCTACAGTTTAGCCCAGTTTAGCCTAAAATAATGCCTGCTGCAAAGAGTACTGCAAACACATGGTAGTTCATACATGCTTATTTTAAAAAGTGTAATTTTCTTTTCCATTCAAACAGCATATTCAATCAGGAGAACTCAAAATGTTTTCAATAATGAAGACAGCTTTGAATTTATAAAAATCAACCTAAACACCTTCTGTATAGAAAGACAGCCCTTAAATATTCAATAAAAGGGCTCACTGAACCAACACGGTGAAGTCAGTACTCACTTTTATTCAACTTTGGTAACTAGATGTAGAAAAATGTTTGAACTCTGCTGTCAATTTGAGAAAGCTGAATATTAGATCACAACATTGAAACCTAGAGTGATACTTCTAATTGGGTATGTTTTGCCCAGCATCTGCTAATCGCCAGAGAATTGGGGGGTGGGGGGGCTGAACCCTGCCCTCATCTTCCCTTTTAAAGGAGTTTGTTTGGCAATTTCCAAAAACCACTAAGCGGTAACTACATAGGTTGGTTTAAACTACGAGCAGTCAAGCACTATTCTTTGTGAGCTAATCACAGTGATTAAAATATCCAGAAATACACACACTACTGGGATGGTACTTTTGCACCAGCTATAATAATAAAGGAGGAAGAAACGGGAGAAAATGGCTTCAAATGGATGGCAGATCAGTGTTTATCAGAAGAGAAATGATGATTCAAAGCCAGCATGTTGAGTTAAAATACAAGCTCTCCACAGCTACATGACTGACCTTTGCAATAAATCATATATTTTATTGCCAGAAGTGTACGCTCATATCATTTAGTGTTAAAAACCATCACATACGTGTTTTGTAAAAAAAGGTTTTGTTACTACAGTGTTTGCCGATTCTGAAATGATGTAGGTAACGATTTAAGTGATGTATAGAAGAATTTCACATAATAACTTTCTGTCAATTGTAAAATGTTTGAGCGGGCAATGGAATGAGGAAAATACTCTTTTTTTTATCATCTCTCAGCTCTTAGGTGTTAGCTAACAGAAAAATAATCATTCAGGGGATTAACTAATCACGGTGAATTTTCTGACATTTCAAATGCTGCTGCCAGCATATGAATTCTTATAGTGGTATATAACTGTACATCTCAACTAGAAACAAAGGTCAAGGGCATAAATTAAGATACACTGTTTTTCTCCTCTCAGAAAAAAAAATAAAATTCATTGCTTTACTACAACAGAAGTGGGGGAACAACTGTGAAGGTCAAAATCATCGGTATTTTAATTCAGAGTTCTTGTAAAATTATCTAGTTTTTTCCCTTTTCTTTTCTTCCACAAATATCACCTTCCTGGCATGAAAATACCAGCAACGATGGGGCTGTCTCCACGGCACTCGCCTCCTCAGAAAGTGGTCCCGCCAGCGCTAGCCGTTGCTTCAGTGGCGCAAGGTCATTCTAATTTCTTTCCTCTGGTTTTTCCCTCTCCCTGGGGGACAACCAATCCAAGCAGTCCCATAGCTTGGCTCAATAAGAAGTGGAAATGAGCTGTTATTTACTGTGGTTGCAATCCTCAACTCAACCAGCAGCCTCCGAACGGAACCGTGTTTGCTCAAATAGCTGAACGATCCACCGCGCCAACTCCCGATCAAGCAGACCTCCATGAGAATTGTGATTATTTAAATGTCATACAGAGCGCAAAACATTTCAGCCGTTCTTCTCCCAAGTAATTCTTTGAAAATTACAGACGTCAATATCCCGTCTTTAACCAGTATGGAGTTGCTATTTTTACACCATTTCTCCCCTAAAGTGCAGCCCTATTTGTAATACTTAAGACAGGACAAATTTTTGTCCTTCAAAAACAGTTGTCACTGCAGTTATCTTCACAAGAGCTATCAAGTTCCAGACAGGCTGAATTATTTTTGTTCCTGGCAGAAAAAATATTTGACCCAGCTCTGGACCAAGAAAAAAAAAAAAAAATAGGCAGGATTTATAGTCCTCTATCCTTTCGTGCAACACACTGTAGCATTGTTAGGATGATAAACAGCTCTGTCCAATTTTCTGGACTAAAACACTTCAACTCTTTTTTTAACTGTCTGTAAAAACAGTGTCATGTCTAAATTCTCCCATCCCCAGATACCCAAGTGCTAGGAAAGATAATTACCTTGTCATCTCTGTCATCCTCTTCTTCCTCGTCCTCTAGCATGTCCTCCACTACCTGCAGACAGAAACAGTAGTAGTTGTCATGATTTAAAAAGGCAGAGTTTTGTTCTGTCAGTTCTAAACCTTTTGTAGATGAAAACTTTATTAACATTTGAAATAAACGCACAAAAGGAAAATGTACAACTAGGAAAAAACACTTGATCCAGAGATTCAAATTTAGGAAAGTGTTACAGTTTTAACTGACTTACATTAGGGAATTATATACTGAAAATCCTTCCTGTACAAAAGGCTTGCTTGACAATTTAAGTATTTAAAAGGTAGTTCGAAATTCAATACATGATTGTTTTAACTAAAGGAATCCTTTGTCAGCTCCACTGGTGCCCATGCAGCACACACAAATGCTTGCTTTAAATTTACTGTTACTTACAGAAACGTGCAACGTTTTTAATAGAATTTACAGCATTCACCACGAGCTTTTTTGAAGAATACAAAGCTGGGAGTAAATTCATACTAGTTTATCTTCTTATGATCTACAACAATGATATATCCCATATGTTCTTTCAGCATTAGCACTGTGTTTCCTAATAGTGGTTTTATACAATCTGTGCATCTAACTTCATGCACATTCATTGCTAGCTGCTGTTGCCACATGTCTGTGTCTATGTATTTTTCCATTTAAACACTCTTTTCAGTCTAACACTATGAAATATACACATACATTCAATTCATTCTACAAATATTAGTAATTATTAATCACACCATGAGCATGAAATGAACTACTATTAAATCTAGTTTACAGAGAGATTAAATGACTTTCCGAAGACGGTCAGTGGCAGGTTCAGACTTAAAGCTCACAAATCCCTCTCATAACGCTATGATCAAGTTTGCAGCCTGCCCTACGGGGACAATCCTCTGTTGTTGGAGTTGAAATAAACTTGTACCTCCTTATAACCAGAAAATAATGTGGGTTTTTATATCATTACTTACATGTAAGTATTATTAGGATATAGGAATAGCCATAATGAAGGTCAGCAAAGATCCAGCTAGCCCAATGTCGTACTACGGACGCAAAAAGTGTATACTCTGTATTATAAAGTATGCATAAAAAGGACAAGAGAAGGAAAGTCTCATTGATATGAAACATCAGTACTTATGCCTATTTTGCAGACTTGCCACCAACAAAAACAATGGTTTACTTTGTTATATAGGTGAAGGCACAAATGGTTTTAGTCTACTCGTCATTTAAGACAATGCATTAAAATTATAGCTTCATAATCACCCCCCCCAAACACAGCTGCAAGGATATTCTCAACAAGTCCAAATCCATTTGCAAGAACTAAAAGGACTTTTAACACTATCTAAGAGCCAAATTCAGGAAAATTCAGAAATTCTTAAAAATGAATAATGTGTCTATCAGATGCCTTTCTCCGAGTTAGCTCAATCATCAAGAAGACTCCAGTTAATCATGTTACATGGGCCCATGCAAAATATAAACAACACACAGATTGATCCAACACGCACATCTAGTAGAGCACGCTGCAGACATGGAAGTCAACTGCACAGTTCAAAACACTGGCAGTTTCAGCTGCTCATCCTTGTTTGAACCCAGTCCCAAAAGTCCTCCAACAACAAGCCTGGGACGCTGGAGGGGAAGGAGCCTCCAGTTCGGCCTACTGGCTGCTCTGTCCTGGAGCTCACGATCAAAACTAAAACTAGAAACAGTAAAGAGTGAGCATGTCCAAAAGCACAAGGAAGCAGCATGACCCAAGCAATCAAGGAATTATTACTCTTCAATCTTTCCTGCCCAGAAGAACAATTTTAGCAGGAGAAGCCTGACTGACCGGATCTCCTGACGCCAGTCAGGCAGATGAGTTTGTGAGTCCCCTCCAGCTGAAGAAGGATCAAGGCTGGGCTCCAGCCACCGTCCATGAAGAAGGAGCCTCCCTCACCAGTGTCTCCTCTGTTTTCTGTTGAGGTCAGCTTTGCTCCCCTTCTTTAAGAAAGAGGATCAGAGACCGCGCCCAGAGAGTTTGGGATGGTCGCACCTCTCAGCATGGAGAGAGGGAACTGTTGAGAGTGCGTTGCCCAAATGCTTGTCAGCTCCTGCTTAGCTCAGCATGCCATTCTACAGGTCCCATCTGGAGGTGCCGAGAGGTCCTGTCTTCACGGACCTCTCTGTGGAAGCAAAGACTTTCTCATTTCCCATGCACCCGCAATACCTCCTTGCTCCTCTCCTCTCCTGGCAGCTCACTGTCATCTTCCCTGGGCTGCTGCGAGTGCCTGGGGAGCTGAGCTGTAAACTACATCACTGGACTGATTAAGCTCCTCAGAAAGCCACCCCAGAACTTTTAATGTAGATGGTTTCAGTGACCCAGTTTACCGAGCAGCTTCAGAAATCCCAGCATCAGCTCTACTGAGGAACTGGTAAGCCAAGAAGAGAGGATGAAAATGAGCTGGTAAAGGGCTGCAGCGAGATGGAAACCCTCTCAAATCAGTTTTGCCACACACAAAAAAGTCTGTAATTACATCATTAGATGACTAAAGCCCAAGGTATAAACCTGACTCTGTTAACTCAGAAACTGCCTACGTCTGGAGCTGACTAAACTCACTATGTCTCTTACTTTTCAATATTAATATTCCCCAGACACTTTTATGTACATCCAGAGACTCCTCGACTTGACAGGATTGAACAGCAGAATGCCCACCTCACAGTAGCACTAAAGTTGGCATGAAGACAATTAGCTGAATTGGAAACCTCTAAAATCGTGGCAAATGATGGCACCTCACTGAAATCACTTGTATGACAATAACCATTCTAAATTATCCAGAAAATAATACTTCAAATTCACTTTTTTTTTCCTTCCTTATCTAATGATCTCAAATTTTACAAGCACCTATAGAGGAGCAAAATGTTAACTTGTTCAAAGGATGTAAAAAGTCCTTTGAAATCACTTGAAGCCCAGGACTGAGCTCAGATTTCCAGCTCCTCCATTCCACGTTTTAATTCAAAAGCCACTACCAGTCTACGTTCTTGTTCTAGGTAGTCACATCACCAATTACATTGAGCTTCGGAGTATTGAATTGTCTAGAAAGGAAAACAGAATTCAACTATTGTAGCAAAATAAAATGTACAAAAAAAGTGTTCCTCTGCCCAAGATGCATAAATGATTCTTTAAAGTATATGAAACATGGTTTCACTTGTCTTGAAATTCAAAAGGAGGAGTGAAAAGAAAAAAACCATGAACATCCAGACAACAAGGACACAACAATACAATCTATTAAATCACCAAAACAAGTGTTTTCAGAACTTTGACACAAATTAAAACAAGGAGAGTGGATTCTTCATAATTCTATGATATATGGAGAATTGGTATACCGAAGCCTTACAAAAGATGTACACTGAAGTAAAACCTATTTCTGCAGAACAAAGCAAGGCTGTGCAAGAGAGGCACAGTGAATGCAAGCAACAGATTTCAGCTTAACATTGTAGTAAGAACACTGTAGAAAAAAAGCTCACAATGGAATTTTTTCTCCTTTGATTCTGCCTCGTTGCTATTCAAATAAAGTGCATATGTGCCGCTTTGGTTTGAAGGAACACAGTAGTTATTCGACTCTCTGTGTCAAGCATTGCACCTGGGGGAGGTATGATGGGAGAGGGAGGAGGCAGGGAGGGTGGGAGAGGAGAGAGAGGGAGGACAGGAAAAAGCATATGAAGATAAAATGAAACATTAGAGTTATTTCATTAAAAGTTCTATGGCAAAAGTCTTAGATTGCCCCAAGAACACTCACTCTAAATTATGCCTTCCGATACCTTGCTTGAAATCAAGTAGTATTAATCAAACAAAGGAAGGGCACTGGGGAAATCAGAAAGATCTAATGCAAGCAGTTAAAAGTGACATGACCTTCTGTAATGTCACTTGTCACAGACTTATATGCCGCATACTGGTAGAAGGTCTTGAAAGAACCTGTTTCTTGGAACTGTCCCTTGAATGTAATACTAATACAGATGACATTTTAAAAAACACACGTAGACGGCCTCAAACACGGCGTGTCAGCTACTTCACGGCCAAAGAGTAAGCCGACGATGTTTAAATGTTGCAAAGTAAGATCCTTCCTGTGTGAAACAGCCCCATTAAAAGCTTATTAATCAGAAGGAGCACCATGTGTTGTAATTCCTACATGCTGCCATTGTTTCTGACCCTTTCTCACCCTCTTCGAGGAACTCAGTCCATAAAAACTGTACGATTCATAGCCCGTAGGAGACTGGAGAGGTGTCTGTTCTGTCTGACCAGTGACAGTGGGCAATGAGGTCACAGCAGGTTTCCAGAAGGAAGGACAACCACCACGTCCACACGTCAAAGCAGAAAACTCCAGTGTTTGTGGGCAAGAATGCAGTCTTCTGAGGAGGCGGACAATTAAGAACAACTGGCATTTATTCTAAAGATGATCTATTAACGAAGAAACAGGACAGTATGTGTGAAAAAAAAGAACTTATTTTGACATCTAACCTCAAGACTTGCAAAGTATGGATGGATTTTAGTTATTTATAAGCGTGTTGAATCCAAATACCGTGAGAAAACTTTGAAACTCCTCCTGGATCTAAAGACTGTGTGGAAAAATGACACATTGAAACTTAAAGCCGCTTTCAAATAAAAGACCCTCTCTGAGCTATCAGCCTGCCATTTCCCTTACAAAATGTGCAAACCACAAGTCACTTCATGAATTGTCTTCGGTTTTAATTTCTTTGACTGATGCTACAGAAACACTCACACAGGAGATACTTTGACAACTTTACATGTTAACAATATCAGATATCTGCTCTGTAATCGTATGTAAAATGCAGAAAAAATAAAAGAGCGGCACTACCAGATTGCAGATAATCCCGACGACTGTTGCCCTAATATTATTCTTTAAAGTGAAGCAACACCCCCCGCCTCCCATTAGCACTTCTGTAGATTTGCGTATATCTTACTTGATGTCGCTTTTCAAACATAGAGGTTTCAAATGAAAAACAAAAGAAAACACTTTTTACGCCATATCATGTGTTATGGTGTC